CCCTGGTGTTACCAGGTGCAGTGCTCGTCAGGACGATGCTGTGAGATCCGTGATGGATTGCCTGAGCCCGTGGGTTCGAGACCCGCCCCGGCAACTTGGAGAGACCTCATCTCTACAATTAATCAAAAATTAGCCGGGAGCGGCCACTGCACTCCAGTCTGGGCAACAGAGTGAGACTCCAACTCAAAAAAAAGCAAAACTGGAGTTCACGGCCAGGTTCCGGGTTCCAGGAGGTGGAGGCTGAGCTCGAGGGTGCAGGCCCCATCCCTGCCTCTGGGGACAGCTTTCTCCCGGCCTGGCACACCCCGGCTGGGTCTGTCCTCTCCTCCCCGTCCCCAGCCACACACACCCGTCCCACTGAGAGCCTCCCCTCCCCCGGGGCCGTCTTGTTCTACAGGCCACGCGGGCATCGCTGGCCTCGGAGGAGCCCCGAGTGGACCGGCTGCAGGCGCAGCTGAAGGAGCTCATCGCCTGCTCCCACGACCCCCGAGACCTGCAGCCACTCTCCGACAGCGTCGTTGCCGCCGTCCAGGAGTATCAGAGGTACCCGGAAGGGGATGGGCGGGACCTGAGGTGCCCGGTGCCCCGCCATGCCGTCTCTAGACGGGCCTGAGTTCTTTGCCACCCGGGTGACTCTTAGGTGACTCTCCTGCCTCCCGATGGCGGGCTGCGGCCATGGGGGCTGTTCGGGGCACCTCTCGCTTGGCCAGGCGGGTCCCCACTGGAGCTCGGCCTGGGGTCCCCAGGAAGAGGCCAAGACTTTGCTTGGATTCGTGCGCTGAGCGGCTCAGTGGCCCATTTCCAGCACAGCTCTTCATACAGGGGGAAAAGCCCAAAGTGGGGCCTTTGCAGCAGACGGACCCCTTTGCGCCACTTCTGATGGCGCCGAGACCTCAGCGCTGGTGCCATCCCCGGGCCGGCCCCTGCCCGCCACTCAGCCCGGGTGGGGCACCGGGGGCTCACCTCCCTGCGTCAGCGCCCAGGGGCTCGCCGGCCTCCCTGAGTGGAGTGGGCAGAGTGGAGTGTGGACCCTCTCCGTGTTGTCCCTCCGGGAGCCCTGGGCGTTCTGACCGCAGCTCAGCTGTCCACGTAGCTGCAGCACGTCGCACGCCTCGAGGGAACACAGAGCTCTCACCCCTGCTGCGTCCGTCACCCCACAGCTGTGCTCGGGCTGCACATCTGCAGGATGGGGCCACGATCTGGATCCCCTGAGGGGTGCTAGGGTGGTCCCCCTTGGCAAACACTGGGACACCATGGCCAAGGGTCTTCCTCTCCCTCCGGTGTCTTTTATCGAGGTCTTGGGTGCTGGACGTTGTATTTGAAAAATTAAGCCGGGCTCCGTGGCTCAGCCTGTCATCCCGCGCCTTTGGGAGGCTGAGGCGAGTGGATGGCC